GTTTTTGTGTCCCCCTCCTCAGGGTTTGTTGTGTGGGGTGGTTCTTCTTTTGCCTTTTCTCCCCTTCTTTAGGTTCTACCGAACTAACACAGAAATAGCAGCAATTATATCTTTCTGTTGACATTTCTTTTTTTGTAAAATATAGTCCAGGTTATCCCTTCTCAGAAAGTTGAGGATTATTTCTCCCCCAAAGGATCTGTTTCTCATACATATACATACACTGTCTTTAATATTCTGCTCCAAAAGGTCAAAGAAGAAATTATTTAACAAGAGGTACAACACATAAAAGGTGACCTGCAACCACTTAGAAAATGCTTTGTGCCCACCTTGGAGTCCTGACTCCCAGGCTGAGAAATACTGAAGGATGGTGAGATGGGACTTCCTTTTGCAGAAGCAATGTTGATTCTTTCTCAGCAAGTCTTCCACCACTTTAAAGAATTACTCTAGACAGGTATTAGGCAAATAGCCCTACAATTTCCTGACTAATTCCTCAGATCCTGGTTAACAACGTATATAAAGTGGCTATGTTCCAATCCTTCAGTAAGGACAAGATGTATGTTAGTGTTAGACAATCAATAATTTTACATTTGTGCTCTTTTAAGAATTCTTGGGCATATGCCTTACTGAGAACCCTTGCTTAGTTCTTAATTTGTGTGCTAACCCTAGAAGTTCCGGTCACTTCTGTGTGCCTTAACAATTAAGATGCTCTCTGGCTTTGGTTCAGAGCTGGGTATCCGTCCAGTGCATTCCCCAATGAACTCTGTGATACAAAGAATTAATTAACTATCCTTCCAGTTTCACTCTCTAGTTTCAGTAATCCATGCACACCCTTGCCACCTAATGTGTCCTTACTGGCTGGTTTCCTGCTTCTGATTATCTTTGAAATAGACCTCTCATTGATTACAACAGATTTTGACATTATCCGCAGCAATCTTTGCCAGTCAATGGCTCAATCATCCTGCCATAATTTCTCGTATATATATTTCATACAACAAAATATGTCAATTATAAATAGATCAAAATAATGAAAAAAAAAACCTGATGTACAGTCGCATTGCCTTTCAGAAGGATCCATCAAGTTCATAATAAAAGATGAAGAGTCCTCCCTCACTTCTTTATCAAGTTATAGACAAGTTTACTTGAAGCAAACCCCCATGAGTTTAATACTCGCTTGCAGGTAGGCAGTAGAGAACTGCAGTACTACTATTTTGCAACATGTACACATTTTTTGCCCACAGACATATTGGATGACATCTGTCTATAAAAATACATTTACATATAAGAAAAAAAGCATAATGTTTCCGTCAAAATGGAACCAAACAAACAAAAGAAGTGTGAAGCAAAGAACAATTAACTGTTGTTGTATGTAATTACACTAGCCACCAGTGTTGAAAGCCACGGCAAGCATGGCAGATACTGTATCTGTTGGGATCATCAAAACAAGCTACTTCTGTCAACAGTTGACATATTACCTAATTGGATACTGTATATTTTACAGTGCAATCCTAGACATGTCTTCTCAGAAACAAGTTCCACCAATATCAGTTTGACTCACTCCTACGCAAATGAGTTAGAGGATTATATCCTTAAATATCTTGAACAGTCACGGAGTGTACTTTTTCTGAATACCTTATAGTCAAATTCCCAACTGAAAAGTCCAGCTTTCCTTCTGCAATATAAATCAATAGAAGCAAAGACAAAGCATTTCTCAAACAGACTCAGGCCACTCATTTGTGGCTTCCCTAGATAAGGCACCGATTCTGTGCCTAGAGGCACACAACCCTTACAAGGAACAGACTGTTTATTTGAACAACAGCTTGCCTCAGTATGCTTTTGGCAAATTAGTGTGTTTTTGTTTTGGAATTGGCCAGTTGGAAGATAGCACAACTTTGCCTAAACATCTGATTTCTGAGGCACAGAGTACTGAAATATTTACATGCCTGGAAGGGATAACATTGTAAGAGAAGGAAATACATAGGTTTCTGACCATGTGATCTGGCTCTCAGAATAGAAACAGATTAGAGTCTGTGCAACATAAATTTAATAAATATCATTTTAGTATGAAAGGAGGAAGATTCAGCATGAGTTAGCATGGGCTCTTACAGCATATATTTCTGAGACTAAAACAGAGATAAATTGATGCAGTGTAAGTACTGATAGTCTTAAGAATCCAAATTTTCTATATGCTGGCTCCTGCATCTCTGTATATACCACTAAATATCAAACAGGATGCCTGAAACTAGTAATCCATCTCAGAAACATCAGTCACCCAAAGATACACATGACTAAGCCTCATCTTGACATACTGCTTCCAAGAATTTCAACCAATATATATATATATATATTCTTCCACACTCTCCAGAGACCTTGAATGACAGTCCTCTAAACAGAGCATATTTTGTGGGGCATTAAGTGCAACTCAAAACATGTTATTATAAGGCTTGTTTTACTAATAGGGGAATCATACTGCATCACAAGCAGAGCTAAGAATAAACTTATTCACACAGTTTAAGTTCTAAGGAACTTATTACCACTCACTTCATCCTACATGTTCCAGCAAGTGATCTCTGAGAACTTCAGAGCTCACTCCTTCATTGTTCACACATTGATTTCAAAGAGGGCAATTTTTATCAGTCACACATTCGTTGTTCTGCACCTGAGGTTCCAGTTCTGCCTGCGCTTGTTACAGAATATGTCTCATCATGGTTGTGATGGGGTTGCACATGCTTAGGGTAGTGGTAGGAGTCTGCCTTCAAAGTAATGACTTGGGGTATAACTCTGTTATACCCCATCACATGGTTGTGATGGGGTTGCACATGCTTAGGGTAGTGGTAGGAGTCTGCCTTCAAAGTAATGACTTGGGGTATAACTCTGTGCATACTTCCCTGTAAGTAAGTCTCACTGATCAAACAGGAATTACTTCTGAGCAAACATGCATAGGAGCGGGCTGACAATAAACTGGAAAGTCACTCAGAAGTAGATTTTTGACCCAATAATGCTTCACCCATAAACTGAAAAAGTTTTAAAGTTCTTTGCATTGTAACACAGCCAAACTCATTTTAATGTTATTAAATTATATGTATGCGATACCATGCATATTAACCAGGGAATAAGCCCTATTAGTTAAACATACCTGGCTGAATTCAGCTAGAGTAAACCCAGTGAATGTACGGAGCCATTGAGTCGGTAGGTCTACCACAATTGGGAGTAGCATTATGACTTAGCCCATTAGGAGTCATGTCCAAGTAAACATACATAGATTGTTGCTGTAAAAGTCATTAAAATTTCACAGTGACTTTAGGAAGGGGATGCCTTCTTTAAAAGAGTGATGCCTTAGAAATACTGTATAAAGCTTAAGGTGGTTCCTTGATTCAGAGTACTGTATTTCCTAATTTTCCTCAACACATTAAAAAATGGGTACAGCAAATGTCAATGGCAGGCTATCAGTCATCAATTTGATGTGCATTAGTGTGTCTTCTATTGACCAAACTAATTTTATAAACATTCAATATGTGGAAGAGTTATAATACACTTGAGTGATGGCGCTTGAAATTAAGGATATTAATATAACAGTTGATATATGCCACTGCCTGGTCGGTACTGATACCACTGATAAACAAGCTACACAATAAAATATTTCTATAGCTTTACCTCCCTTGCCCTTCTATGCATGTTGCACATTTAAAGACTATATGGAATATTTTGTGCTTAAGGCACAGTGATATTTATGGTAGATATACAGCCTATCCTAATTTATTAGCAGCAATGATTTAAAGTTTTGCATTAAAGCAACTCTCTAAAAGGCACTTAATTTAATGCAAGTCTTATTTTGGTTTATGAGCTATACATAAAGTTAACGAGTTGAAAATTATGACAAAAAATATAGGTTATTTTAACCGCTGTTAATCTCAGATGACGAAGGAGACCATAAACTAGAGATACTTAAGAGCACATTATGACATGAAGCATACAGAAAAGACCTCAGACAGAGTGTCCAAATATGCTTGCTTATCTGTATGGAGTATAGACTGGTATAGGAATAGCATTCAGTGAAAAGTAGAAACTGTGAACTTAGAAGTACTCAAGAAACAGTGGAGATTTGAAGGGGAGTCGTAAACTGAACTGAGAAGAAAAAGCACCCAAGACTCCTTCCAGCAGTTAGGGTAGTATTTGGCTTGGCTTTTAAAGCATCTAGAATCAAATCTGCATTCAAAAGGTTTTGCCAGAGGGCTTATTTTTCAGCTTCTAAGCCACCTCTTTGGGTTACTTTGAGAGTAAGGGAGATAAGAATCAGAAAGTGCTTCACACAATGAACAGTGCAAAGAAATCTGAGATGGTCCCCATGTGTTCAAACACAAAGTAGTTCTTTCATGGAATTCCACTTTTATAGGCTAACAATGAAGGGATTCAACACAATTGCAGCGTATGAACACATCTTGACAGAGCACCAAGTTCCACTGAAACTTCTTACACACAGTTATATACAGTACACCTGTATCCAAACTCTGGAACAGAAATCTAGCCCCATCACAGAAAACAGCTTATGACTACTAGAGAAGGAAGAAAAGCAGCTTTCATCTTACACCCATGCAAGAGCCTCAAAGATTTGTTTGCACAAGTCCAACAAGCCAGCCTTTTGGAACTTTCTCACTCTCAGCCAAAGAGTTGCTTGTCATTCACCTGAACTGGCAGCTCCAGGAGAACCAGGTTCTCCTCTTCCTTTACCCATCTCTGGAGAACATCTTCAATACAGGACTGAGAAATGCCCTTCTCTCTCTCTTTTTTCCTTCTGGATTATACCTCCTAGCTGGATGGAGGATTGTGGGAGTTGTAGTCCAGAAATGTAACATTTCTCAGCTCTGGTTCACGACAGCCTCAAACAAAAAGGATGCATCCCAGTCTGCCTAGCCTTTTTATGGCACCTAAAACAGATGTTTCACATCTGCACAACACACACTCCTTGCTCCTGGCTGCTTCGCCATGTGATCCTTCTTACTTACCTGCTGCTCTCCCAGAATGGCCGACTTTACCAGGTGCTTCTCCCTGTACAGAGACCAGAGTCCAATATTGGGCAGGAAAATCAGAGTCACTGCAAACAACAATGTCATTTGCAGAAACCTTTTCTGTTTTCTCTTCATGGCCAATAGCAGCAGTTGCCGGAGAATAAACCGATGTGATGGGTTTTCTTCTCTCTTTCCTTCACGATGGGGAAGCCAGGGTGCGAGATCTCCCCCCTTTTCACCCTCTTTTTTTTCTCTCTCTCTCCTTTCACCAATTCACTCCCAAAATATAGTGAAGAGAAACTTCAATGCCGTCGCCAGCTTGGTTGGGTCACCCCTTCACTGGGGTTGTCTGTAATCTGCGGGTCCAAAGCAAAACACTTCAATGAAATGCAAATTTTAAAAGACACGGAGTTCTCTCTCGCTTAATCTCTGCCACGACCGGCCAGTCACCGCGCTTGTGCCCTGTCGTCCGAGTGAGATCCTCAAAAACCGACGGGTCGATTCCGCGTCGCGGGCATCGACCATCCCTCCTCCCATTCAAAAAAAAAGAAGAAGAAAAAAGAAAGAAGCCCCTCGCGGAGTTGATCCGATTGGCTGCGGAGCTGCTGCTGTAGATCAGAAGTTCGAGCGAGGAAGCAATGGGGCGCGCGGGGGGGGGGTAGTTGAGTCACGCCAAGCAGGGCGCCCGAGTCCTCAACGCACAGGGTGGCAGGACTTGGGGGGACGGCGGGGAGGCGGGCAAGATCGAGGATCCCTTGGCGAGATCTCCTTTTGTCGGCGCCGCGCTCCTCCCCTCCCAGGAGGAAGAAAGGGCGCCTGGCATCGGCTGCTCCCCCCCCGCGCGCACTCTTTCCCGCCAAAGAAAAGGGGTCTCGAGGGCACAGCCTTCTCTGGGACCTCGCGTCAGGGAGAAGGATCCTAGCTTTGGATCAGCACTTTAAACTCTCTCTTCCCCCCCCATCATAAAAGAGCATCCCTCCCCCTCCTCTCTCTTTTCTCCCCCACCCTCATCAGCGACCTCCCTGGCAGAAGGAAAGAGCTTTGGCGGGCTACAGTTGTCATGACTTCGAATTGACACACGCAGAGGGGGGGGGACCACCACAGAACAGCGGGGCTTCCCTGAGAGAGAGAGAGACTTACCCTCCCTGTTCGCTCGTAGGCAGGGCCAAGATTAAGGTACCGGTAGACCCTGGCCGGGGGAGCTGAGGGAAGCAGAGAGCATCCAAGGCGAAAACCATCCTCGTAGTAGTAGTGGTAGTAGTAGTAGTAAGGGCACAAAAATCCACACTACTACTACACCCATCACGTTACCATGCTTCGCGACTGGGGGGGGGGGCGAAGAAGAGATGACGACAACACCCTCCCCGCCCCACCGCCGAATCAAAGAGGACGTGAAATCGGAGGGAGCCAGCGGCACCGTGCGCCGGGCGCGCTGCTTCTCTTCCCCTCGCTCCGCCCGCTGCCATCCGAGGTCCTGCCCGCATCTTCGCTGCCCTCCGACCAGGACCGGCGGGCGGCGAACACGTGAGGCAGGGGATCGCGTTGAGAAACCAGGGAGAGAACGGCAGTAGGAAGGAAGGAAGGAAGCCCTCCCGCCCGCTCGCCTGCCTCCCTGCCTGCCTTCAAGCTCCCTCGAGCGACCCGAGCGATCGATCTCCCCGGAGAGATCGGCGCCCCGGAGCCTCCTCACCTGATCCCCCAATCCAGAGCGCCGCAGCCCAGAAGAGGAGCGGATGGGAAGCAACCGGGGTAACAGCCGCGGCGGCGGCGGCAGCGGCAGCGGCAGGGATTTGCTCCTGGGCTGCTGTTGTCCTTCCTCTCCTCGGGTTCCTTCATGATCAGTTTGATCACAGGCGGTCGCAGCGGCACCAAAGCAGCAGCGAGCTGGCTTCTTCGACAAGCCGCTCCGCCAGGCAGGGAGGAGGAGGAGGAAAGGAGGAGGAGGAGGAGGAGGGCTGGGAAGGCAGGCAGGCAAGGAAGAAAGATTTACTCCAGTCGATTTCTCTCCCCCTCCTTTCCGCCCCCCAGCCAGAGCGCAGCGGATCTTTTGCCAGGCGGGATCGGGCGCGGAATTTCCTGGCCGCAGCAAAGCCCAGAGGAGCCGATGCCTTCCCCGCCCCAGATCAGCTGTTCTCCAAGAGACGCTGCCGGCAGGGGAGCCGGGAGTTGCAAACCGAGTGGCTCAAGGCAGGCGCCGGAGGGTGTGGGCCGGCCCTGATGCGTCAGGTGCCCAAGGCTTGCCGGCTCCAGTACTGCGGGCGAGACGAAGCCAAAATCGGAGCGAAAGCGAGCGCTTCCTGCTTTAGGACGCTAGAAGCCGGTCAGGTTTCAGAGGAGAAGAAGCGCAAGTTACGCCTTAAGGCGAAGGCTGCTCTGCCCTTGAATCTGGGCCACTTCAGGCCAAGGAGCAGCCAGGCTTGGGCCAGTAGGCCGGGGCGGGGGGCGAAAGGCTACTCCTCCCTGCCGGACTACAAACCAGGAATTCAGTCTGGATTTGGCCTGCTGCGCCACTTTTGACTGCAGGTGAAAGTTTTTGAAGGAAGAAGACCACCCCCTGAATTGTTTTTTTGTGAGGGTGCTTGAGCCTCAAAAGAGCTCCAGCCCCAGAGTTTGGACTCTTGGCATGGGACACTTGTAGGGCAGAGAAAACAAACTGAGTAGAACGTAGCCCCTTAGATTAGCAAGTGGGGAGATGAAGTTCAAAACCAGGAGCTTCCATGGCGTAGCAGGCCAACCATAAAACTGGATGCCCAGGTTGGTTGTCAAACCTTCCTTCACATGCCACTGAGAGCATCTTTGTATGCCACTGTGATGCAGTAGATCAGCCACTTTAAACCTTTTTGTGTTGTTTTCTTTCTTTCTTTCTTGGCCATTACCACCCCCATAAACACAACATGGAAAAAAATATAGGCCGAAACAGGATTCTATAAGTTGCATAACAAGCCTTACAAGATGGTGTATGAAGAACTGTTTCCAATCAGTCGTCCCCTTCAATTATGGTCCCTGTTGAGAAGGGCTGTGTTATACAGAGTGACAGATTAGGACTCAGAAGACTTGGGTTTAAATCTCCACACACCCCTGTATATTCATTGGGGGTGGTAATAGTAAAATCCACTGCTAAAATATTTCACATGCTTTCCATGCGTTGTCCTCAGGGGCAGAACTCTTCAGCATATCGTTGGAAGTGGCACAAAGAAGCTGAAGGGGAGTAGTAGAACTTGTGGGAAACATTTCCCTGTCTTTTTATTAGGAGAGGTGTCTGCTGAAATCAAAATACGTTTCATGAGCAGAATGGTGTCACTAGCTTCCACATAATTCCAGGGCCTTAAGATTGGACTCAAAAAGCCATTGTATGTAGAAGTACGCGTTTATAGATAACATGTGTGAGCTGCTAAAAATGGATTTTCCATGGTCAGCTCCCCACAATCATATTTTCAGGAAAAGTTATATTTTTTCTACGTAAGCTGACTTCTTCATGTTGAAACTTCATAGCCAGTGTTTACCAAGAAGGTGGAAGAGGATCGTGGAGACCTGCAGTGTTAGATGGAATAATGCAGATTGGCAGTTCTTCCATATGTGCTCCAAGCATTGCTCTATGATTCTATCTTTCTATATGTGCTCAGTGACAATGGACGACATTCCCAGACAGGAATGATCTGGAAAGAAATGCTTCAGCTGTGAAATAGATGTTGACACTGAAACTTCAAAATGATACTACATGGGTACTGAAATGTGGATATCAAGATTTTTTATCAGTATTCCATAGGATCGTTCTGCTGATGGAATTGCTTCCAGCATCAGAACCAGGAGGAGAGCATACCCTCCTTCCTTCAGGCTCTATACCAGAGGATTTCCCAGTCCTCTCGAGCAGGTTTTGGGTCCAGTTTTGATGCTGTGGGGATGCACAGGCAGGGGTTTTGTCCCACTAGGAGTTGGGTGCTGCTCACTTTAAATCTTCTAGCATCTGAAATCACCCTAAACTTACAGGAACAGAATAACATGTGAAACTGAGGGGGATGAGAGTGTATGGTTTGGTTTGATCAAAATATACAGTAATTAGGAAAATTGAAATGTAGAGGAAAGTGAAGTGGATAGATTTTCTCACTCCAGCTGGCAGACTGGAGTGGATGATGATATTCATCATCCTACAGCTTCATTTAAGCAATATGTAGAAAGTGGATCGTCTCTTATGCAAATCCCCACATTCACTTTCCTTCCCTATTTCTGATGTCCTTTTCGCATTAGCTCAAAAGAATGAATAGGACATTTTATGCAAATACTTGACATAGAAGAAGGGCATAATACAGAAGCCTTGTGCGCCTTTTAAGTGCTAGTGTAAGGTAATTCTGGAAACTTAGGGACCTTTGTCCTTTGTAGAACACATCTTCCACTATGATGACACATACCGTTTTGAATCAATATAATCAGCCCTGTACGGATATTCTGACATGTACTTAAATTCAATAGCCTCATTGTAATGCATCATTTCACACCTGCAAACTCAGGTGGTGACTGTAGCCAGGAGTATCTTTGCACAGGCTAATATGACAATTATATCCATTCCTCATAAAGAGGAGGAATGAGATCTGGCCACAGTAACACATGTTGGACAGGATTGTGGCAGTGCCTTCTAGACAGGCCTACATTTTCTTGGTATGTAAAGAATACTCATTAAATTCTTTGATTTTGATTCTCCATGTGATAAAATGCTTGGCAAGGCATTGTCAGATTCTTGGCTTCTCTATGCAAGTGAGACATGGATGACTATTTTTTTTTCTCATCAAAGTTTCTACTTTGTGCAAACTGTCTCTGTGCAAAACTAGCATTGTTTAACTTTGAGATGCAAAGCTTGCATACACAGCACACCAAGGAGGACTGGGCAATTGTTTCAAAATATGTAAACAACCCCTCTGAAGCAAACAAAGCAACAGCTACTATTGTCCTTTTGCACAATGTACAGTATTTGCTTTAAAGTGTTCATGCAGTTTCATTTAATGTACACACACACACACACACACACATGCTTGTTCTCGTACTCTTTTGCCAAGAGTGTCACAAAGTAACTCACCACTCCTCAAAGTAGGAAGAATAGTGTCTCTGTTCTTTATCCTCAAATACAAGTATGAAAAAAGGAAGGATTTACCTCTGTACCTTACTGGTTTTCAGAAATTAGATTTTATCCTAAATGCTTGTGACACCTGCTCATTTCAGGGACCCTACTACAGTGGGGTCTTGACTTGAGAACTTAATCCGTATTGGAAGGTGGTTCTCAAGTCAAAAAGTTCTCAGGTCAAATCTGCATTTCCCATAGGAATGCATTGAAAACCATTTGATCCGTATCTGCTCTTTTCCGTCCATAGAAACTAATGGGAAGCTGCTATTCCCCCTTCTACCACTAGAGGGGGATATTTTGTTTCTTTTTTCTTAGGTCAAGAAAGGTTCAGGGAAGGCAGGGAAAATACAGTCCAGGCAGTACGGTACCAGGCAGTCCGAAGACTGTCTCCCAGTCCACTCTCTAAACGCTGGGAGGAGTGAGGAAGCAGACAGGCACCCTTTTCACTGGCCAACAGTTAACTGAAAGTTCTCATTTTGCACTTTCTC